CACCATTCACAGCAAAGCATTCATTAGTACAGTTTTGTGGAGGCTTGGAGTAACGGTAGCCAGAGCCCTGGTCATTTTGGCAAGTCTGGTCAGTTAAATTCACCCGGCAAACCGCTGCTATGTGGCCTAAGCGGCCACATCGTTGGCATACCACCTCCTTAAAGCGACAAGTGGAACGGAGGTGTTTGCCCCTGCAACTCAGGCAGCCATCACTTTGTTTTTTGGCGGGCTTCCTCCTGAGGTAATTTTTTGACTGCACACGGCCGACTTGCTCAGAATCATTAGAATTGTAATCATCCTGCCCAATTTGTTGGGTAGTAGAGGAAGATAGAAATGGTGGAGGGCCCCACTATGCCTATTATAAATCTGTGTCGTACTCTTGTCAGCCAGCTCTGCGGTTCTAGCCCCGTCTACAGCAGCCTGTAGTGTTAATTCAGGTGTTTCAGGTTTTGATAAAAGCTGGCGCTGCAGCCTAATGTCCTTTACCCCACATACAAATTGCTCCAATAGAGCATCATCTAGCTCCTTAAATTTACAAGGAATCACCTCCTGTCTCAGTCTGGCCAAATATTGGGAAATTGACTCAACTTCTAATTGTAGACACTGTCTAAAAGCATGTCTACGTGCTATTTTTGATGAAGCGGGGGAGTAATGGTGTTTCAAATTAGTTATCAAAGTATCCCACGGAACAGTATATACAGGCATTGGCGCTGACAATGCCCTGGCCATGCTAAACATTTCTGGGCCACAAGCACTGAAGAAGAAACCCATCTTCCTGTTTTCTGACACTTCAGCGAAGTCATTTGCCAGTAAAAAACACTCAAATCTTTCCAGAAAAGCCTCCCATGACTCCTTCTGGGCGGAGAAAGGGGCAAAAGTCGGAATAGCCGACATCTTAAGTAAAAAAAAAAAATCACTGCTATCGATAGGCTAGGCTGCGTGAAGTTTCTTCCCTACTCCTCATCGCCAGTATTATGTACTAATATTATTTACTTGACTGAGGCGATCCGTTCAACAGTAAAGGTTTATTCAACATCAACTAAGCACAAATTATGACAGAACAGAGAAACTCCGGTTTGACCGCTCTTTTATATCGGAGCTGTCAAACCGGCAACCAATTAGAACGACGTTATCTTCCTTAGGCGCCGCCTACATTGACCAGCCAGTCCTGTCATCGGGTGGAGATGATTGACACCTCGCGTTTGCCTAGTCTCAGACATAACAGTTTGTCATTCTGTTGACTGTACAATTCTTTAGAATCTCATATTCCCTGGGGACAGGATATATCACTCCCATTTTTTGAATGGTAGATTTCTTGTGCTTCTGAAGAACGAACTGTCTTCAGGGAACTGATTCTTGAATGAGAGTAGTCAAACTCAATTGAGCCAATCCATATAATAGCTAAAGCTGTGGCAGTGCCGGAATTTTTCAAAGCCCCCCTGAAATATTTCATATAATTAGTGGATGCTTCTTTGCCAATTTATTTATATTCAGCAGAAACAAGCACAAAAAATATATTGTCTCTTTTTTTGAAACTGAAATACAAGTTTTGTTTATTCCACCATGCATTACCTCCTTGTTAGCTTTTAATGTAACATTTGATTGCCTATGGCATCATTTTACCTATGAAACAGAATTATTCTGATTGCAATTAAGTGAATATATTTAGATAAGTTTTATGTCAGTCTTCAGGCATTGTATTTAATACACATAATCCAAAAGTATAAAATATGATTTCTTAATATGATTTTACCTCATTATAGCAGTGCACTGACTATAGATTGTCATTCAAATCCTTTTTAAATTAATACATTGTTCTGTTTTAATATACAAGATGCATTTACAATGAAATCTTTGCAGAGTTACTTCATCCCCCACTAGATTCTATAGTTGTCAATTTATGTGTGCAACTCTGGCCTTTGTGGTATGCTCTGAACTGTGAAGGGCCAAATAAGCAAATTTATTGTTCTATTCTTCTTTATTCTGGATTTGCTCTTTGATAGAATTTGGAGTTTTTAATTTTGTAGATGGGAAAAAGAACTTTTTTATTTTTAATATATACTTGCACTTCTGCATACTATATTCTGCCTATATCACCCTCTTACTTGGCTTGGTCCCAGTTTGATTCCAGTGTAATCATTGTTTAGTGATTTATGTTTGGTGTTCTTGGGAAGATGCAGAAAATATTTGGTGGGGGACACACTTCTTTGAGATTCCTATGAACCTATTAAGTCTGCAAATCCTGTTTACTTTTCATGCTCACAGATTTTGCCTATATATGGATCATTCATACACTTTAATTGTTTTGTGGCATTTCTCAAAGATTTCGAGGAAAGTGGAATATCCCTAGCTACAACATCATTATCTACTTCATGTTTTGATGTGCACATATTTCTTCCCTCAAAATCAGTGGCCATTGTTTCTCCTATTGCCTGCCTGCAGTGCTCAAATAATTAGTAAAGCCAGTGTGATATAGTCAAGGAGAATACTCCACTGATTGATTACGGTATTCTTATCCTACTCAAAACCAGGCAGTATAAATCAAACCTACCATATGCTCATCTTTGAACTTCCAGAAATATTAATCCCAAAGAACAAAGAATGACAGGTGGTGTTACTAAGGATTTTCAGTTGGAGGAAGCTCGTTTTTTTTATCCCATGTGCTTTTAGCCAACTGTGCTTAATTTTAGTTAGGGGAAGATACAGCTTCTATCTACCCAATTAAGGATTCTGTTTATTTAACTTGTCCTCTAAATCCCATTTCCCACCGCTGTTATGTTTCCTCTTAAAAATGGAGAGCTCCATGGCAATTTATAAACGCACTCATTCACAAGATTTAAAGCAAAATTGTGTTGAAACTGATTTATGCTACCTAAGTTGGAAATGCTAGGCTATTTGACACAGAATCTCCCATTTCTTTGGTAAATTGCAGCTTGATCATATTCAAGGTAACTTGGAAACAAATCAAATATGAATGTTCATTTCTGCTTGTGTAGGACTGCAGCTTGTAAAAATTTGTTATTTTTTTGCTTATTTGTTTGACTAAACAGACTCTTTCCTTTAGCCTTTCATTTCCTATTCATAATGCTGACTAATATTTAAATAAAAAACCATTGGTACTAACTTTATGTCATTATATCAATTCATGTAGACTGTATACTCCTTCCACACATTATATAATCATGTTGTATTTGACTTCATGTTGTAAGTTTCTGTTAAGTTACTTTTAAGTTACACCTAGATGAATAACAATTTTTCAAAAAAAGTAAGCTATATGCAACTTACACCATTTTCATAGCATGATGGATTTTCATCCTTCTAAAGTAGCGATTAGGCTGCACATATTATTTTGTTATTTAGCATGCTGGTCTATCTGGGTTTCTACTGTAAGCTTAAAAGATTTCCTGTCTGCTCAGGTCCCAATGTAGATCAGAGGCCCTTCTCTTTCATTTATTTATTTATTATATTTTATGCCATTTACCTACCTCTACTTATTTCACACATGTGGAGAAAAAAATTATGCATCTCAGAAACTCGAGATAATAGACATTGTTTTGAATATGTGAGTATTTTGTAAATATCACTTTATAAATATGCGGCTTGGTTGCAATAATAATAATAATAACTGTTGCCAGTCCCCAAACAGTGCAACAGTTGTTGCTTCATTGTGTATTGTTAATAATGGTTGTTGTTGCTGCCAATAGTATATAATTGAGATACTTTTTCCTCATTTAATGCATCTAAATATTTTGCATTTACTTTGCTATTTCTTGCTTTAAACCAAGAAGAGTAGTTGTAAGCTGCACAGATAGTTCTTGCTTATCAACCACAGAGATCAGCAACTCTGTCACTAAGCTCCATGATTGCTAAGCAAATAATAATAATATAACTGCAATGGATGTATTATGTCTCTTTCTTATTTGTTAAATGAATCATTGGGTTGTTAACAAGACATCATGTCCATGACTTACAATTTTATTTCCATCTTCTCTAGTAACTCTTTTGTTGGAATCCACCTGGGAAGTATGTATGCAAATTAGGTCACATGACTGGGGCCTCTGCAACAGTAGTAAATGTGGGCTGGCTGAGAAGAACCCAAGTGGCAATCAAATGACTTTGGGATGCTGTTATAGTAGTTGATATGAGAATCTAGGAATCTCTGTAGCAATAACTGCCTTAATCTTGCTTAATAACTGCCTCCTTAAATATTTGAACTTACAATGGTGTAAAAACACCTTTGCAACCTATTCTGTTCAGGAAGAGTATTGATGAATAACACTGGACAGTGGCAGTAGTCAAAATATTTCTTTGTTTTAAAATTTATTTATATATTCATCATTATAATATTTATAAAAATGCATCTATACTATACCTATAGTATTCAGATATATGTGAGTTTATTGAACAATGTCATCTGGAGATCACCAGTCCTACTGAATATTTAGTTTATATGCTTGGTTGATTTCCAGTGAAATTTGTAGATAAGCGATAAATTGTTTGAATGTATTTTGAATACTGTGAACAATAAGTAGAAGCTAATATTTGCTTTGTGTTAGCAAAATAATTTCTTAAGTCATTTTAATTTATATTCTAGTCTTTTAATATATTTTAGTTGACATGTGGTTGTGAAATCCCCCCCCTCCAACTTTATCTCTAAATTTCTATTTCATGAAGTTTGGCACAATACATTGTGATAGCATGTACTGTAATATCTATGATTTTATTGTGTGCTTTTTAATTCAATTTATTTATTTGTCAAATCTATTTGCCAATTAATATGGTTGCCCATTTCAAACAAATTGATTCTGGGCAACATAAAATAACATCTAGAAATAAAATATATTACAAAAACAATTAAAAACAATTAGACTAGTAAATATAGATTAAAAACAAAACCACAAGCAAGAGAATTTCACACATAATACAGTTAGCTGCTATCTTTTCTACCACAGACCTTTTATCATGTTAAATTATTTTGAATTGTGTTTTATATCTTTCAGGGCATACAGGGCGGTTATTAAAATCCTTGTGTTTCATGAGTTTAACATTTCTGCTTGTGCACATCATCTTTCAAATCACAATAGCCAGCCTTGAAGCTGCAAAAACTATTCAACCTAATTATAACTGTGAGTATAATCTTTTTAATTTAATATTTTACATAGCTTATGTGGGAAGCATACTGAAATATGAATATGTGAATCAATTTAAAAATGATAGTTTTATTTTCCAATTTAGTAAAATAGTATTTTGGTTTGTTATAATTTTAAAATTATGTTATTGTTTTTTTTTAAATGAGTTTCTTCCTATTTTGTAAAGTTTTTCTATACAATGTCCCCTAACCTAATTTTGAATGTAAACCTGTGCTAATAAAACAATGATGCAACTTTTCCTTCATGTAATCCTGATACATACGTATATTTGAGGGATCCTACAATTCTGGAGGGGTTTTAGCACATGTGTCATAGGATATTTTTATGAAAATCAAGATAGCTATGCATATAAAAACCAAGCTTCCATCATGACTTATTTTAACCATACCCTACAGATATTAATAAGTTTTGGACAATACAAACGTGTTACCAGGCTCTGACTTAGCCCATCTATTTTTCTTAGTATAAACTGTTGTAAATGTTGCATAGTAGAAAACTCCCAGCTAAAATTATACATAACCTGAGTTTTATTTCATTTTACTTGTGGCAATGGGGCTAAATTTTGGTAGCAATTTCTTGTACCAAATAAAATTTTCCAAATACTTTTCTGTATATGCAGGTCTCTTCTTAATGTTTAGAGTGAAATATGTATTGATGATGCTAGAAATCTTATACTTGTGTAATACTTTGCTTATTAATCCAGAATTTACAAAGATGACAACCAGAAAATCAGAGGAGAAAAAAATTAAGAGAAGAGCAATTTCAGTAAGTGTCTGACTTACAAAAGGACTAAGTCTCAAAATTAATTATGGAGAAAGGGCAGAATGCTGAATCAAGAAATTTCAGATATTTTGTTAATAAAGTATGTTTTGGAAATGAATGGCTTCTGTTGTTGTGGGACTTTGAACCATCTTTAGGAATTTTCTGAATTCAAAATAAACATTAGATGGATCATTATATTTCCTCATATATTGAATGTGTTATCCAGTTAATCAACAAGTATCATTCACAATGTGAAAATAATTTTGAATACTACCATTCACAAAATTATCTTCCTATTGTGATTCTCATAATAAGATTATTATACCTCCCAACGACCAATAAGATCTCACAGGTTGGGCCTCCTCCGGGTGCCGTCGGCCGNCTGAGAGAAACTCGCCACTTCAGTTTCTGGGGGAGGGGCATACTGTTAGCCTGAGCAATAAAGGAGTGTGTGTTGAGAAGGAAATGAAATGAAGAGATATGTTATATTATTCTGCTATATTATAAAAAGCAGCATATTTGCAGCATATTCTGTGATGATTTTGGCCTGTTCAACAGAACACCAAGCAAAAAATTGTTTTGCTTTTTAATTAATTTTTTTGGGGGGTACAGTGTGATTAATTCCTAGGAAACCGTGACTCATATCAGAATCCACTTAGTGGTTGTTTAACAGTTTGCCTCCTAACTTAAGCATCCAAATTTCTTTTAACATCAGTATATAAATTATTGCTGGCAAAAGACTTGGGTTTATTTTGTAAAAGAATGCTCTGTGCAGGCAGTAGTTTATTTTGGATGTGGCTAAAGCTTAGACATTTTGTTTTATCAAACTATTTATTGGTTTTTGTCACTTTTGGCTTCCCTCAATGAGTGGAAGGTGAATTTCAGTTTTGGGGGGAATGTGAACTTTGTAAAACTTCCTTGTTGCTAAAGCTTAATAAATAGTGCATTTTCTGCAACCATTTATTCTTATAATCTGATTTTTATTGTATTGACATGGAAGTCTGGCTTTGTCTGGTATTACTGTTTATGCCTATTCTTTTTGGGTGGAATTGTATAATTCCTTATAATAAATGAAGGCTTTCCTTTCCTCCTTTGTATGTGTGTACATATACACAAACACACACATAAACACAGCCTTTTTCTATCTAAAATCCATGCTAAAAAAATCAGAGATACTAACATACACATCTCTCCATGGAGAAATTGACAGACAGATTGTCCTCGTTTGGCAACTGCCTCAGGCAACAATCATTTGCAGTTATGACAGTGATGAAAAAATAACTTTATGACAAATCTTTGCATTTAAGACCTTTGTAAGGGCTGTAAAGCAAAGGAAAGCAGAAGTAAGATTAAAAGCACACTTGTAATTTCACTTAGCAACTGATTTGCTTAATAAATGACTTACAAGTCCCAATTGTAGCTGCTAAACAAGGACTACCTCTTATCTTTCAGGACTGAACAATTTGTGGAAATCTGAAACTTACCCATAAATATCTCTGAAGAAATTTCAGCTATTATTTTTAATAGGTTTTAATATAGTGCAAGTATATATTATTAACAGATTCAGCAGCACAATTTGAAGTATATTCCTAGTGCACTGACTTCAGTCTCCTAGGTTATGTTATTGAATAAAGTATATCAAATATATCTGGATATATAATAAATATGATGATTAATTAATAAGGAAGAACTTCCACTCATATAAGGTTGGTAGAGAAGACATCAAAATTTTAAGGTCCTTCATCCTACCCATTTCCTAATCCTGTTAAACCATTCAAAGCACAAAGATGATTTAGAAGCACTTTAGAATGAAATCTGAAATAGTCTAAAGTAGAGGAAGTTGTATGTATACCTTCTTTATATAGCAAAGATGAAAATAATTACATAATCCCAAGTTTCATGGAAAAATAGCAATAGCATTAGGACTTATATACCACTTCAATATGCTTTACAGCCCTCTCAGCAGTTTACAGATCAGCATATTGCCCCCAACAATCTGGGCCCTCGTTTTATTGACCTCAGAAGAATGGAAGGCTGAGTTGACCTTGAGTCGGTGAGGATAGAACTCCTGGCAGTCAGCAGAATTAGACTGCA